TCCTTCCACCCCCACCACAAAAAGAAATCCCTTCCACTATAGGACATTTCCTCAAGTTTCTTCCCTACTTGCAGGAATAACAGTACCTAGACTTATAGATGTGGCCATTTAAAACATCAATTCTAGTTTCTGCTGCCCTCATTTTCAAGTCAGAGGTCTTAAGGGCTGCCATAAGTCAGTGCTTAGCCAGGTCCATGCATGCTCTAAAGTACTGGCAGCTTAAACTACTTCGGTTTTCTTGGTAAAATCATGAGTTTACATGCCCAATTCAACTTCTCAGATTGGAAATTGACCATGCCAGCAGAGAGCTAATGATGGAAACAAGAAGCACAAATAACTATTAATCATCCTTTCATGCAAGTAAAACATTTACTCAATTTTACCAGATTCTTGACAATGCAGCTTCAACTAGCCAACTCCTGAAGTACTGTAGTAGTGGCATCCGTGTTCCAAGGGAATCAGCACACAACAAAAACCACCAATAACACTTTCTGCGACCAACACAGAAGAGGTCGGATATGTCATATAACTTGGCAGCACTATAAGTGCAACAGGTTGAACAGACAAAGACATTACAGCCAGAACGGCGAAAGCCAGACATGCCTTCATAATGATAAAACCAATCTGGAGGGCAGAAATCTTGACTTCCAAACAAAACTCCAAATTAATACCACTACTTAGTCGGTCTTACTATCTGGCACCGAAACTTGCAGACTTGTGAAGACCTTATCATCTAAACTCCCATGTTTTCATAAACAGTTGCAAATCCACAAACAAAGAGCTCTGGAGGAGATCAAAACAGAAACTGATAGGACAGGAAATTACAGAACGAAAGTGGAGATGGTTAGGACATAAATGGAGGAATGACCTGAACAACATATCCAAGATAGGTGTTGGACAAGAAACCTCCCACCCACCCCTAGGGCAAGAGGTGATGAAATAGACCAAGATAACATGGAACTGCACAACAGAAGCAGAACTGAAAGCTATCGGATTGACATGGGAAGAAGCTAAGATTGCAGCAAGAGTCTATCAAGGATGGAAGGCTGTGGTGGAGGTTGTATGTTCTGGATGGCATAGACATAAGTAAGTCAGAGTAGCCTAGGAGGGAATGCATACTTCCTTCACTCAGGTAGATGACTAAACGAGTGAACTTAAACTACAGCATTGATCAATATTTTCTCTGCAGCTCTTTCATGGTGAAATTCATCCTGCCTGCTCCTCCCAAAG